GGAGTGGCCCAAGAACGTCACATTGCTGCGCCACAGGCATTTGTAAGGGTTTGTTAATCTTTAATCTGGATTTTTTTTAAAAATTTTGAGTATGTGACTTTTTTGTTGAAAAAAATCGGGGTGGGGGGGGTGATCCCTTCTCATTTGGTCGTATGGTCTGCGTGAAAGAGTGTGCGTATGCAACGTTATCTGCCCAATTCAAATTTTGTATACCATAGAGTGCTGTAAAAATGCGTTGGGTTTTTTGTTTTTTTTTGTATTTTCAATGATGTGTCATAACGCACTTGTGAGCAGTGATCCTCTTTTTTCCATGTTTACAGCGCAGCTTTGGATATTGTCGAAATCTATTGTTTTCTGGGTTTTTTTATTGTCAAAGAAAAAGAATGTTTTTATAAAAGTGTACTTCTTGTTTATCTCAAAATCTATGATATTACTGATGCTTTGTTCCCTTCCCATGCAGTCTTTTCATTCGATGAAGAGGAATTATCTACTTTGCGATCGCAAGGTATTTGGTGGTATAGGATTTTACTCACTCTAATCTTTACTTTCGGTTGAAATATTGATTTTTTTTTTCAAAGAATAGGATTTGATTCACTTTGTTCACGACTTTGTCCGTGCCTGTAGGAAGGGTTACAAAGCAGTAGACACACATTTTTAGGTTTAGTTTTTTGGGTTTTTTCCTCACGTCATTACAACTTACTAAAGTTTTATAGTCTTTGATTATCTCAACTGGGAATGAGAAGCCTGAGTGTCCTACTTACAAACACCACGAACTGATTTCACGTTTGTATTCAATGCTTCTTCACTGTCTTTCGAAATGTTTTGAACGTTTATCGGTGGTGTTTCGTTTCTCGTTTGTGTGTATGTGTCACAATCCGTTTGAGAAGACGACGATGCGAAACACTTCTCTGTTGTATAGATCTAGTTTAACTATTCTGGAGAAAAAAAAACGATTTGATGCCTTCTTCTTCCCCATCGCTCATTTGTTAGCATTTAACTTAGGCCAAATCGAACTTTTTTAAAAATGAAATATCTGGCTGACATTTTCACTGATTCTTTGAGTCCAGTTTCGTGTCTACCCGCCCGCTCGTCATCATAGGCGAATTTTCTCAGAGATTCCTTCGTAAACTCTTTCTCTTTGTCTGGCAGCATTTTTTTTAAAGAATCCAATTTCCCTGTTATTTCTGTTATTTGCCATTTACTCCTTTCGGGGAGTGGTGGTTGGAGGGCGCAGTGGTAGGTCCTCCTTCTAAGCTTATTATTTCCTTCTATCGTTTCTGTTTGTCTGTCTTTCTGTTTCCTTACACAAAACAACCGTTATCGATTGTATGTGCTTCCTCTTTACTCTCTTTATTTGCGTCTCGCTTTAAACTTACCCTCTCTTGACAGCCACCCCCCCCCCCAAATCTCAAGCCCAATCCCACCTTTTTCTTATGCCCTTATGTTTTTCTTTACGTTTTTTTCCTACTTCTTCATTGCGCTTTTCTCTTCCTCTTTAACCTCCCAAAACTACCGTCCCCCCCTCTTATATCAGCTTCCGTCTTTCCAAATGCAAAGTTTTAAAAATCTCGTTAAAAATGTGTTGTTGTTTTTTAATATCAATGACATATTATGTGTACGCCCTTTAATCCTCTTTCTCATCCACGTTTTTGTTTTGTGAATTTAAAAAAAATTATTTTTGGTCTTATTTTTTTCACTTCTTGTGGAAATTTATTAAATTCTCTTCCCACCCACATCTTTTCTCTCCCCTTTCCTCCCCCTCCCCTTCCACCAAACCCCTCTTCCGTCTCCTCCTCTTTCTCCTCCTTCTTCTCCTTCTCCTTCTCTTCCTCCCCTCCTCGTACTGACTAGTTTTGTAAACGACACGTAGTCTCCTCCTCCTCCTCCTTCTCCTCCTCCTCCTTCTCCTCCTCCTCCTCCTCCTCCTC